TTTCATATAGAGATTGCCTAAAGTCATCCGTAATACTACGTTCATTTTCTACTACTTGGGGACACGTTACAGTTTCAATACAGTTAATAATAGAGCTAACGTTAAAGTTAAAAGTAACCATAGCGATATGCAAAATTTATCTAATGTTGTAGTAACTCCACTCGACATTGGAAACTTATGAGAACCTAGGATCCAGGATTTTCAAATTTGAGGGTCCTTTTTCATTAAAAGCGGCTCCCTATTTTAAATAATAAAAATCGCTTCCATGAAGATATACATATTTTATGTTTATGGGAATAAATGCGATTACCAATTGATTCAATAATTAATAATCAACAATCATTCAACATAGGATTAAAACCAAAATTTCTACAAAATGTCCAACTCATAATTACTATCTTTTTATTTCTATGTTTTTAACACAGGAAAAAAAATTTGCTTTAATTTTGCCGACATAAATTTGCGGGGAAAATTTTTTTTTTCCTACTTTTTGCGATTAGCTCTTGATTTACCTTGAGTATTTCGAAGTTCAGAAAATTTAGCATATAATTATAATATATTGAAACTACACTCTATAACAAAAAAATAGACGCACCAAGAAGGAGTTGTTCGATTGAAACGAAAATTGGTGGATAGGAAGACAATGTACAGAATAGTAAATGATTAAAATTTCAGAACAATTGAATAATTTATTGCAGAGTTACAACAACAAATTCAATAAGGTGTTGACCCGCCTCTAGCCTAAATACAAGCTGCCACACGGCGTGGCATAGACCGATAAAGCTCCCGGATGGTCTCTTGCGGTATTTCCTGCCAAATTCGATCCAATTGTCGAACGAGGTCATCAACATTCCGTGCCAGATGCAATCGCCTTCCCATCATATCCCAGACATGCTCGATGGGAGAGAGATCTGGTGATCTGGCAGGCCAAGGAAGAGTTTGACAAGCTTGCAGACAGTTCATAGCAACACGTGCCGTATGTGGTCTGGCATTGTCCTGCTGAAAAACCAGCCCAGGGCGCTGCAAAAGGAACGGTAGCAAAACAGGTCTTAGGATGTCGTCGACGTACCGCTGTGCAGTAAGTGTACCTCTAATGACGACCAAAGGGGTCCGGCTGTCAAAGGAAATGGCACCCCAGACCATAATGCCTTGTTGAGGGCCGGTGGGGCGTGCAATAGTGAAGGCAGGATTCCCCCTCTGCCCTGTGCGTTTTCAAACACGTATTCGATGATCGTCAGGACACAGTTGGAAGCGGGATTCGTTGCTAAAGACCCCCCAGTCGGCATCATTCCAGCCATATCTGTTCAAAACATTCATGCATACGAAATTTCAAAGCAATCGGATGATTGCTTCTTGATTGCTCTTCGATTTTTTTGTTATAGAGTGTATTTAACTAAATTCTTGTGTGAAATGATAATAGGGCTTGTTTTAAACATAAAACAGATGCTTTCAGTTCAGCATTATAAGTTAGAAGGTTTTTAATGGTTCAATTTCCAGATATTGAAAATATGGCGGATTGTTTATATGAATTGTTTTGAATCCAACAAAAATGTATTCTCGTCGTAGCGCAATGACAAACTAGTCGTGCTATGTAATTTTCAATCCTCTTTACTAATTGATTAAAAATAATAATTCTGGTTGTTATTTACCGAGCAATTTCAATTTTGTTGTCGGATTAGTTTGATAAAATACTCTTATAAAGCGATATAAAGTGTATTAATGTTTTTAGTTGTATAATAAAAATATTTATGTTCTCATAATATTTTCTTAATCTGTCAATGGTAAAAAATAATTTTTTATAGTATTTAACTTCCATTCACTTCGGTTTTGTTCGAATTCATATTAATATTCTGTCTGTGCTATGGGTATGTTTGATTAACAGACTATTTTTATTTTAAGAAATATTGTATTTATGCATCATAAATTTATGAATCTTGCTCTACATTATATCATAAGAAAACTTGACTTATTCTTCCGTGTTAAGTTAATTGTATGATAAATTTTAGTGTTGCGGAATAACAAACACGGTGGCGGCTATTTTACACTAAGTAATGCAAAAGAACAGTTTAACTGTTTCACTACATTAGAAACTATCCTCAGTTTTGCTGAAAAGTAGTTGCCCCCATTTTTGATGCTCAGATACACGAAAATATTTTACGGTGTATAGCCAGTATTGACGCAAGCAGAATCGCTGTTACATTCAGACATGTATTTTGCATTTTAACATGCCAGACAGAACACGTAAAAATTTAGACTTTTCAAACCCTGATGCATTCCGCTTTCTACCAACACATGCTCAAACTGTGTTCCGTAGCTAAATGATATATGTAAAAAAAGTTGTGAAACATGCCCGCATATGATTTTTCTTTTGAACCAGTATTATACTAATTTTAAATATTCTGTTAGAAATTGCACGAAACTTTTGTTAGTTAACTAACCAATTTTAATTCCAAAAAGTTTCCTTGATAAACCTAGGAAAATAAAATCTTTTCTACATCTATACTATTAATTGAAGCTCAAAGAATAAATAGAAATAAAATTCATCGAATTCAGTTTTTCTACCATAGGTTTGGAATAACTTTTCGTTTTCAATTGCTTAATTTATTCGAAAAACTTCACTTGGAGAAATCTCATTAGCGTAATTAGCTTAAACATATACTACTCGCAAAAAAAAAACAGATTAATTTTGCCGTATAATAAGTTTGCTTTTTTTAAAAAAAGAAAGAAAAAAATTTCGTCATACAATTCGCAAAGAAACCTCCATAAACATTAAGCTTTTCTTGCTGAAAGGAAAAGCAGAAAAGAATTGGCAAAGTATCGATAAAAATTCCTTTATCTTTTGAAAAACGGTACAAATGAGAAAAAGTATAAGTAGAAGATAAAACATTTGTGAATGGAAAAAAAAGCAGGAAAGAACCTTTTAAAAATGCTTTTATCCTTATCCTTCTTTTAGGTCTAAGCCATCATGGAACTTTCAGTATTTGATCTGAAACTTTCTAACTATCACTGAAAGTAAAAGTGGAAAAACCTAAATTTTTTTTTTAATTTTTTATCGAAATTTCCCTATGAATGAGTTCAATTTCAAAATTAAAGAAAAAACTCAACAAAAAAAAAACATTTTATCTTAAAGATATCAGTTTCACTTAATGTTTAGCAAATGTACGGAATTTTCAGCACTTTTAAAAGAGAGGAATAGAGTGGTGTTTTAAGCTTAAGCAATTAATTTTTACAAGATCTGTAAGGGTTTTGTAGTTTTATACCTTATTTAGTACAAAAAAAAAATACTAAAACCTTAGATAATTCTAAAATCTTAGCAAAAATTTATAATTTTACTCTAAAAGGTTGATTTCATGCGTAAATGTTAATGACCTAACAGATTAATTAGACTTAAAATGTCTCCACCATTTTTTTTCTGCAGATAAAAACGGTTCTATGATGATATTTTCATTTGTGAAACATTTCGTAAGAGTAATAGTTTGATTTCCTGGCTTAAATGCGTACAATAAGACAGAATAATTGATTTCGGTTTTTGAGCTCATAAACCCAACATTATAATATTGTACCAAAAGCATTTTACGTTTAAAATAAGCCCTACCATCATTTCATGCAAAATTTTAGTTAAATAGTATAATTATATCATGATGTGCTAAATTTTCGGGAATCTGAAAAGCACAATATGTTTCTCCAACGAGTTGCAGATTAGTGTAAGCGTTATCAATTATTGGTGTTAAGATTTAACTACAACCTTCAAATTGTGTAATAACTCTCGATCCGGTATTAACTAGAAATAAATAAATGATTCATACAATTTTTAGAACTTTTCAACATTGAATTCGAGTAGGTATTACACCGGGTCGGTGTAGCTCTTTAAATTAAGGGACAATCGCGAAAATTCTTAAAAAGATGCACCAGCAGATATATGTTAAAAGAAAAAGAAAAATTATAAACCAGCAATTCAATCCTACTAATTTTATAGATTTCATTTTAACCACTTTCTTTCTTTCATTGTATAGAATCTATACAATACGAATCATCTATACTATAGATCAGGGATGGCGAACCAATGGCAGGCGTGCCATTGATGGCACGCGACACAATATTTTGGGCACTCCACCAATCACAAAGTTCACTATGAAGCATATTAACAATTAAATTAAAATTCACAAAAAACAAAAAATGAACAATTATTTATAAAAAATTACCAATTAATGCAAAAAAAGCAATTAATAACCATAAAAAGCAAGCTAACAATAAATAACTAGCAAAAATATTAACATATAATAACTAATAGAAAACAAAACAAAAGAACAACTAAGCTATGATAGTGAAAGCGAAACAAAAACAGCACAGGATATAATATGACGCCTAAGCGAAGGCAAGGAGACTCCAAACAGTTGGTCTCGCCAGAGCTAAAGCATTGCCAACGCGCTAATTTTTCATTCTTTCGTCCCTTGGTCGTCAAACTAAAGCATCTTCTTTGTACATTCGCTTTCCTGACAAGGTATTTATAAATTAAGTACATTTAAACATGATATGTAATACATGATAAACATGTAATACATGTTCAAAGATAAACTTTTAAATTTTTCTTATTATGCAACATTTATTTGTATTTATAGGCACTTTTAAACTGTAATTAATTCCAAAATAGCAAAGAACTATTTTTCAAAAGCGTAGTATTATATTTCCTATCTTTCCCTGTAGTGAAATATTGAGGTGAAACGAAGTATAGTGACGCATTATTTGTTTACGTAAAGCATAATAGTCAATTTCGTTGACACAACTGTATTTTGTACTTTAAAGTTTATTTGTGTTATATTTGCGATTTTCAACTGTTCTTTAACATAGCTAGTTCAGCAAGAAAAAGAAAAGTGCAAAATAGTAAGCATATCAGAGAATTTCAAACTTGGTGGTGTAAAGTTTAAAAATATTAAAGAATTTATAAAAGCAGACGATTGTAAAGTCTAAAAATATTAAAGAAATANACAGAGAAATATGGCATGATTAGTAAAGGCGACAAAGCAGTGTGTGTTTTATATTCTGGAACAGTGGTATGTAGAACATCGTCTGTAAAACGGCATTTTGAAACAAATCACAAATTCGTTAGTCAAAAAAGCGAACCAGAGCAAAAGGAATTAATTGCAAGTGCAATGAGAGACAGAAATAAACAGTCCACTTCTATGATTAAATATGTTGGCAAAAATTGTCCTACGAGTGCGGCAAGTTACTCGGCTGCAAATATCATTACTCGGCATAGTAAACCTTTTCAAGAGGGAGAGTTTTTGAAGGAAGCCTGGTTAGCATGCTCGCCCTCACTTTTTGATGATTTCGATAACAAAGATAAGATAATTCAGGGCATCAAAGATACCCCTCTATCTAGAAATATAATAAAAGAAAGAAAATTAAAATTGGCCGGAAATTTAACAGATCAACAACAAATTGACATTAACTCCTCTCTTTTTATATCGCTATGTCTTGTCGAAAATACTGACATCACTAAATCTGCACGTTTAGCTGTTATTGCTCGATATTGTGTAGGAAACGTCATTAAGGAAGAATTAATTGCGATAACATTGTTGCTAACAACTACAAAGGGCACAGATATTTGTACGACTGTTAAAAATTCACTTATTGAGAAAGACACTGATTTGAAAAAAATTGTTTCGGTAACAACTGATGGTGCTCCAAGTATGGTGGGCAAAAAAAATGGTTTCATAAGTTTATCTCAAACATACGTAGGGCACAAGATTCTTGAATTCCACTGCCTCATTCACCAACAAGCCTTGTGTGCTAAGAGTGGCTTAACATCTCTTGATGATGTAATGACGGTAGTCACAAAAATAGTCAACCTCATTTCCTCACAAGCTTTAAATAAGCGAAAGTTTGATGCTCTGTTGGATGAAGTAAACTCGGTGTATAATGGCTTACTGATGTATAATAATGTTCGCAGGCTGAGCCGCGGGAACGTACTTCAAATATTTGTTGATTGCTTGGAAGAAATCAGACTGTTTCTGCAAAATGAGAGGAAAATTGAACAATACCGACAGTTGGATGTTATGTGGCTTTCAAAATTGATGTTTTTTACAGATGTATGCCAACGTTTCAATGAATTGAATGTGAAGCTTCAAGGCACAAGTAAAACGATTATCGTCATGATAGATCTCATTCGTGCTTTTGATGCTAAACTGCATGTTTTCAGGAACGATATTATTACGAGAAACTACAAGCATTTTCCAAACTTGAAAGTATCAACGGTTTAGATATACATGAGAAACCAGGCGAAAAAACAGTCACTGAAGAATTTATTTCTGTTATTGATTCTTCAATCAAGGAATTTTCAGCGCGATTTTCCCAGTTCAAAGAATTATCAGAAACACTCAAGTTTATTATGTACCCTGATGTGACTTCATTTGATAAATTGAACTTGTCCCAATTCGATTGGTTGGAAATTGAAGAATTTGAAATACAGCTGATTGATTTCCAGTCTAGTTCAATATGGATTCAAAAATTTATTGAAACAAGAAAAGAGTTGGCATTAATCGAAACAGAAAGATTGACAAGCAATATAAGTAAAAATGCCAATAACAAAATTTTGGAAACATGGAATTCGTTACCAGACACATTTAACTGTTTGAAGAAGCTGGCTCGTGCTATTTTAACTATATTTTCGTCTACCTATGCCTGCGAGTCATTATTTTCAGAGATGAATAGCGTTAAACACTCGCTTAGAAACCGTTTGACAGACGACTCCACATCAGCATGCATTCTGCTTAAACTAATATCTTACAACCCTAAATAAGTTATTTGTCATCTAACCTGCAACAACAGAAGTCACACTGATGTTACTTTAAAGTCTAATTATGTATAAAACTGAGACATTGCAAAAATGTTTTTTCGTAATAAATAATAAGTTTTGAATTAATAAATATTAAGAATTTCGTAATAAATAATAAGTAAATAAAGAGTTTTGAATTGATTGTATTTAGTATTATTAATTTCCCAATAATCACGTAAGTCAAAATTGTTTGATGGCACGTCTATGACCACATTAAACATTTTTCTAGAAAAAATGGTACGTTGATGCATAAAGGTTCGCCACCCCTGCTATAGATGATTCGTTGGCAATAAATTTTAATGACATAATGATATAACTTAATATTCGATTTCATTTTTAAATTTATATTACTTAAAAATCGTCCTCGTCTCTTACAATCCTGGAGCATTTATTACACGCTTTTTTTTTTTTTTTTTTTTTTTTTTTTTTTTTTTTTTTNAACAAAATTTTTTTTTTTTTTTTTTGAAAATTTTCCTCTTGGCTGTAGTTTGTCCCAATTACATTACAAGCTTTTATTTCTTTTAAAATTTGTTAACTGAGCTAAAAAAAAAAATTTCATTTTAAAAAATGCTAAACAGGACAGCTAGTCATTAAAAGACGCTGGATTGGACAATTGCACCCTGGGCAACGTGGTCAACAACTTTAGACAGACATAAGCGTGATGAAAAGCTTTTGTGGCTATAACTTTGATCTTTCGTCTTTTTCTGTTATCGTATTTTAATATTTGTTTTTGTTCGCTGTTTTTTTTATACATGTCCCACCATTATAAATAAAATAACGCTAAAACCTTTTAATATGATAAAAAATTATGACAAAACTATTTAGACATTAAAGACAAAAACCATTTAGACATTACTATTTAGACATAAGTCATTGAAGCCAAATGGTAGTATATTTTATAACTATATTTTCTTCACACTATATTTTATAACAACAAAAAAAAGGATTGACTAGATAAAAATAATAATAGCGTAAATGGTTTGTAAAATAGCAATAGAATAAACAATTCTGAATCATTATAAACCAGAATTACCTAGCATAAATGTATTATCAAAATGTATTTGACCTTTAATTAACAGAGGAATTTAACGATTTAAAAACTCAACCAATTGAATTTCTTCAGGTAATTCAGATTATTAAATACTACTAATAATTAAAAATAAAAAATTTGCAACAGATTTCTATCTTATCGGTGGATAATTAATTTTGAACAAATCATCACTGTATCTATCTTTGAAGTTAATAGAAAGCACATTTTTCTATTTGAAGTGGAAAACTAAAATATTAAAACACTCCATTTCGAAAACAGAAATATTTGAAGAATATTTTTTAAGAAATTTTTCTTGATCGCATATTTTTTGCAAAACTTGTATTTAAAAGCTTTTCAAAAAAATACATTAAATATTGCTTTTAGTATAAAAATCGTTTTAAAAATTCGAAAGATTTGAATTTTAAAAACAAAAGTTTTACATATCAAAGCCCGAAAATTTGAATTTTTGAAATTCAGTTTTTAACTAAACTGTTTTGAATATAAAATATTTTACTTTAAAAATTTAAATCATTCTTTTGGTAATTCTTCAGTTCACATGGTAGTGGTTTACAGGAAATTTCTGGTTTTCTAAATTATAGATCTCATTACCGAACATTTAGTAACAAATACGAAACTGAAAATAAATTTAACCTAATACATGGATTTTATGCTCTTAATTATGCATGATAAAATTACCATACTTGCTAAATTTTATCAAACCTTACGAAACAAATTTTATTGTTTACTTTATCAAAATCATTTCCAAAGCACTTCGGTAAAAATTATCGAGTGTTTTGGTGTTCCCATGGAGCCAGAAACACGGTAAATTTTACCACATTCTAGTAGTTTAGCCCATACTTTTTTCACAGTGCAATATCTATAAGAGAGGAGAATTACTGGCTATGTGTTTTTAAGAAAAAAGTTGTTGATGAATTTAAAATTTATAAATCCTATGACAGTAATGCAATAATGTAAGCAAATATATCATGTTTTTTAATAAAGTTAAGACTTCAAAAATGCAACGGAAGTTCGCTTTTTAATCCATTGCTTTAAATTAATCCCGAGGAATCTTATGCTTTATCAGCTATCACCTTTTGAAATTGAACATTTTTCTCAACAATGTGAGTTCGATTGCGTGTGACAAAAATCCTAAACTGAAAAAAAAAAAGAATCACAAATGTTTTTTTTCTATTTCTTATGTTTGAAAACAATAAAGATTCGAACCATTTGTTTCTCTTCTTCTAAAGAATGTTTCTGACGGCTTCTTAAAAAAACACCCTGATAAATAAAATCCAAAAGAAATGTATTTTTTTCCCTCTATTTCAAAAAGAGGCAATTGCATGCCTAAGCGAAATTGTTTTCGAGAAATTCCGTGCTACAGTTTCGATTGAAATAGACTCTTTTTTTTTCTTATCCTTTTGTAACTGAGAAAATAAAAATCAAATGTAAAATAGCAGAAAAATATTTATTCTCTTTTTCGCCCCATACGCAGCTTTTAATCAGTTAGCTATTTATTTTCTGTCTATTATTTAATCAAGCAAAATATATCTTGACGCTTTGAAACTTCTCGAAAAATAAGAATGGCGAATTTTCTTTCGTTCATTTTTGTTCTATTTTATTATTCAAAGCAGCTTTACAATTAACTATGATCATTTAACTTGCTAGGAATGCAACTTGTGTTACCGCGTATGTGTTTTACATGTTTAATAATACAGGGTTAGCAAAAATGAATGATTGAATTTTAAATATTTATAATTTTGAAACTGTAACGCATATTACAATCAATAAGTGATATACGAAATTAAGAAAAAATAACAACAAAAGAGTTTTCAGTTTCAAGTGCTCGATTTGTGGCTATTTTGTTTCACACGTTTTATACATTCAAATTTCCCCGTTAGGATACAACCAATGTCCGTCAAAAAATGCTCTACTCACAGACCGTAAAAACAAATTTATACCCGTGAAATTACCGTCTAAATGCCTTAGTGTGAAGTTACCGGTCTTCTGAAATATACGGCCACTGACAGTAAAAAAAGTTACCTTCCATTTACAATCAGTTACCTTCTTGAAAGATATTTTCAATTTGGATATTGATGCTCTTTAAGACACCGGTAATTCGCTTGTTAAATCAAAATGGACCGTTTCTTGAATCAAATGGGCTTTTTTTTCACAAAATAGAAAATTGTCCGTATGAATCAAAGGCCAAATCCCCGAATCTCACGGAATTTTCTTAAAGAATAGTTTCCTACTGTTAAAAGGTTTTAATCCAAAATGCATTCTTCAAGTTCTTTCCGAGTGTTCAACCTCGCTGGTTCAAAAGCAGTGCCTTTGATTTAACCCCGTAAAAGAAAACCACATGATGTAAGGTCCGGGGACGTGGGCGGCCGTGTGGTTAATGGCAGTTCACTTGTCATCAACATGCCCTCGATATTGTTTATAAACAATGGATACCGAAAATAATACTAGAGATAAACTGATACATTTTTGCAGCATTTGGTAATGTTGTCAGTGTGAAACTTCAAAGTGTGCTAAACGAATTTGATTACAAATGACATGCCTGTTGAGGAACATCAAGGATACACATGAAAAGTTTGTAACTGTAAAAAAAAAAACATTTTTACTCCTTTTTCTATCTTTCATTATTTTGTTAGTCATTGTAAATATGTGTCGAAAATATAAAAAATTTTAAAATCAGGTTTATTTGTTTGTACTAACCTTGTATATTTATCACAAACCTTGTATTATAATATAAGCTTAATATCTAAAATAATAATTTTCATTCATTTGTTGGCATAATCTAACAGAATAAGATATGCAGTGATTAGAACAAATAGCATTTCATTTTAATTAATTTGTGGAAATCAACTTCATACAAGTACATGCAAAACAAACACACATATGAATTAAACGCGTTGTAATTTGCATTGTATACGTTATTAAGTATCGTATTCTTTGTTTAGATCATTTCGAAGCAACATTTTAAAAGCCATTGTCCAAGAAGAGATCATTTTCATATTATGAACTAATTAATCCTTTCTCGTTTACTCATTTATTAAAATGTATCTTCTTAACTTTCATAAACCATGATTTTAATTCCATTATCACAATAATATTCAGATAACTCAAGTCTAACACACTAAAAGGCCTTTCCGGCTTATACTGTTGGCTGAAATATACAATGTTACAGATTAGAAACAGTTACGTTACTCAAGCTAGGATTTATTAACATATTTCTATTGTACTTAGAGAATAACTAAGCACTTTCAAAGCATCTTTGTAACTTATAACTAATTCTTCTTAATGAATTGTGCAAAACATGATGACATAGTTGAATTAGGGCTTTTCACTTAGGCCTAAAATTTAGCCCTGCTCAGATTCATAACTTTGGGCTTATA